ATATACAGAGGGAGGGAACTGCAAGTGACACTCATCACAGTGAAATGTTTTGCACTCTTTCCTCCCACATTCAGTCCTCACGCTCACGTATATACTCTCCTACACACACACACACAATCACACATATGTGCGTCTTTGCTTTCACATGCAGCAGCAAACAGTGACTCACACTCTTAGAAACAGATGTTTTTACATCTCTTGCAGCCGGCTTCCCCCCCCCCCCCACATGCTCATACATATTACATGCTGCACTTATGTTACGGCGTTACTGACCACGCGTTTACACCACAGCGGAGGCTGAACGCACTTTCCCAACTGCAAAACACCCCAGACCTCAATCCAGGAAACATTTTACATCGTTATTTTGCAGGAGAAGATTTTCTGTTCAATGATTTATGATTGATGGGACTGACTGATGATTATTTCCGTTACTGTTTCACCCGTGGATTATTTTTCAAATTAGAAAAGCATTTAATCTTTTAAATTTCTAGAAAATTGTGAACAATGTTAATCCCAGAGGCAGAGACGACGTGTTTGAACAGCTTCTTCTGTCCTAACAAACCAGATACATCAGATTTACAACAATATGATAATAATGAGACAAGCAGCATAACACGGAGCTGATTAGTGAATGGAACATTTCTGCATCGCTGAATTTTCTTCTATTCTGTTTTATTTATCTTTTGCTTTCATGAGGATTCAGCTCTGATTTGAAAATCAAACCCAATATCTCTATAAAACTGATTTGCTTGCATTAATTAGAAAAAGCAATTTGTAAAGTTTTATTTTCCTGCACCGACATTAATCATCTAAATAATAAGGACAGAACAAGAACATGAATTTCTTTTCTCCTGCATCTTTTCTTTCCAAACCTATATTATCTAACACTTGTGTTGTTTATTCCATTTCCATTAAACATTTTTCTTGACACCATAAATAACACTCTCTTCTTTTTTCCTCCTCATCTTCTCCCATGATATTTCCTGTTCCTTCCTTTTTACATCCCTTCTCTCCTTCGTGCTCCTCCTCTTCTTCTTTGATCATTTACTGTTTGGCTTCCCTCCTTAAAATCCTCTCCTCTCCGTGCTTTGTCGAGCAGGAGGTGCTGCCGGACAGGAAAAGGGTGACGACCAGGAGCTACCTGCCCCTCATGCCAGTCGACACAGACAGCGGCAGCAACTACACTTGCGTGGCCAGCAACCCGGCAGTGCCCATGGGCAAACGAGCCACCGTCGCCCTTAACGTCCACCGTAGGTTTGACTTTTTCTCCTTGAGCGTGTGAAGGTGCGTTTGTGGAGCTCCGGTTAAATATTTGATTTAGCTGCAGCAGCACTTGTTGCTTTTAAGGAATTATAAATAACCCTCACGCTGCTTTGGAGTTGTCCATTGAGTCAGCATCTTTCCCTGCGTAGATCCGCCCACAGTGACGCTGTCCATCGAGCCTCGCTCTGTCCTGGAGGGGGAGAGAGTCACCTTCACCTGCCAGGCCACCGCCAACCCTCCCATCATGGGCTTCAGGTAAACATGTAACCTCAAAGATAAACCAAACTGCACATTGTGTCATTTCTACACTGTCTTCAGTGTTAGTGTGGAAGCAGTGGGGCTGTTAAACACGATGGTGGTGGTGAGCTGAGGTTTGATGCTCCAGCTCTGGGTCCCAGTGTGGGAGCACTGCCAGGCACTTAGGCACTAAGCCTATTGACTGTGCATTAAAATGCCATCTAATGGCAGATGTGCAATGTGGTCTATAATATGGTGCAATATATGATTTTGAGTTCTGGCAGAGAAACAGTATGAAGGGAAAATGGATTCAATTATTTCTTTAACTTGCGATTATTGAAGGTTTTGGCTTCAAGGCAGTAAAATGTGAGATCAGCTTCTGATATTTCCTGCTGCTGTGATTCAACTGTAACTAACTCGCACAATGGTGATGCGTGTTGTGCGTCAGATGGGCTAAAGGTGGCGTGCTGCTGGAGGGGGCCCGGGAGAGCGTGTTTGTCACCACGGCTGATCACTCGTTCTTCACGGAGCCCGTGTCCTGTCAGGTGTTCAACGCCGTGGGAAACACCAACGTCAGCATCCTGGTGGACGTGCACTGTGAGTCCAGAGCAGCGCTCCTGACATGAGATCTGTCCACGGAACCGCTCAGCAAAACAAACGACAAATGTAAACGTGTGTAAATAAAATCTTTTGATTTGTCTTCCATCTCTCGCTCAGTTGGCCCGATCCTGGTGGTGGAGCCCCGGCCAGTGACCGTGGACGTGGACTCTGCCGTGACTCTGAACTGTAAGTGGTCTGGAAACCCTCCTCTCACCCTCACCTGGACCAAGAAGGGATCCAGCATGGTAAGAGTTAACAAACCCTCTGTACTGGATGTTAGAGGAAGTGGTTTTCACGTGGTGGTGTTAGAGAAACATTTCATTAATAATTACAGAGGAGGCATCCATCAGGTCCAGACTTTCTTATGATCGGAAAAATTATCTGAGAATCCATATTCCTGTCACAGCTCGGCAATAAAACAGCATCAATAAGTTTCATCAATTGCAATAAAACAAAAGTCAGATGTATACATCGATATATATCTTTTGCATTGTGCAAACACAGTGAGGAGGAATAACACACCTCGTACTTTTGAAAAATGTAATTCTCTGCCTATAAAGAATTTTTTAAAACAGGAAGTGTCTTTAAACTGCAGAAATAATAATGTGACATTTATCGTGATATGAAAACTTGATCTTTTGCTGCCCAGGCCTTATTTCTATGGTGTAGATTTACACCTGACACAGATAACAGTGATTTTCCACCTGTTCAGCCCCGCACACAAAACAAGTCTGATTTTTTTTTTTTTACAAATGCAACAAAAGTCTTGAGTCAAATCTTCCACAAAACCCACAATCCCAGCCCCTATTAATGTCTCAGAGCCCGGCTTCATAAATGTTTGCTCAGCTGTAAAGCAGACGGTTAGTAGGAGACTCCGTCTTCATATCTTAAATCTTTAATTCATGTCTAACAAGTTAAGAAAAGCTCCAGGAATAAAAAAAAAAAAAAACTAATGGAGCCTGCTGAGTAAATCAACATGTTTTATGAATTAAATATGGATCTCCCTCCCTCTCTCTTATTAGCATCTCCTCCTGTCTGTCTCTGCTCTCTCCACCTCACAAATCCACCACCCTGCTCTTTAAGCATCGACTTATTTATGTGTCCAGGTGCTCAGCAACAACAACCAGCTGAATCTGAAGTCCGTGAGCCAGACGGACGCAGGTCAATATGTCTGCAAGGCCATCGTGCCGCGGATCGGAGTGGGAGAGACTGAGGTGACGCTCACTGTCAACGGTCAGTCAACATTCACTCACTCTGCTATTATAACATCGGTGATATCAGTGGATCTGCCTGTGCACAGCGGACACCCTTCAGAATATCGAGGAGGAACATCAGGAGCGTTTTTTTTTTTTGTTTTATTGTGTGTATCTGTTTCCGTCTGACAGCTGAAGCCACCGTGCAGATAATAGAACTAAAATCATGTTGACCCGGCTTTATTCATTCCATCCCAAACCCAGCAGCTAATTTAAAACAGGCTGAAAGCCAATATTTCAAAGCTGAAACTGTCGCCCAGAGAGAGCAGCAACAGCTTAATAAATCAAAACTGATTCACCGGCAACACAATGATGAAAAGTTCAAACGCGCCTTAAATCTTCTGCCGCTGACAAAGTGCCCGGTCGACCCAGAGAGGACGACAGTCAGCGGCTCGTCCTCCTTGCAAAATATTAAGCGCGACCGCTGCTACTGTACGACCACTCATTCACAAACCAGATTATTTTTATTCATTCTCACGACCGACTGCAAACCGCGTTGCATCGATTTTATGGAGCCGTTTATCGTCAATCAAAGCAAAGTTACTGGATGCTGCGACACATCAAACATGATAGATTTCTCCATTGTCCTGTCACGGATGCAAAGGTTTTGATTTATAGTTCAGCATCAGATTTTACCACAACACAATGAGCAACAGCAATGCAAGTGGCAATATTAATCATCGGCCTGCAGTAAAAAAAACCAGCCCATAGTTCGTCTCTGCCAGCCGCTTGTTATCTCACGTTTTATTGTCAGCAGCCAAAGTAATTATGACGGCGGCTGAGGAGGAAATCGGGTGACGTAGGATGATAGAGTCTGCATCAGGACGAGGTTGAGTCCTCAGAACACAGACTTTAACACAGGGGGAGTAGTTTTCATTTCCAATGAGAAACTAAAGCCTATTGTCTACTGGTCAAAAAGGAAACTAACCATAACATCTGGCGTTTGTCTGAAACGGGAACGGTTAGAATCGGGATTCACCCTCTGGTCAGATGCAGCAGATACAGGTTTCATTCGGCAGCGATGGAAACACGACACGCGACAATTTGGCAATGCAGCCTGGGGTGACAGCAGTTTGTCATGATGCACCAGGGAGACTACTCCCTCCACTGTGGGTCAGGAGGTGCAGCGGGTCGTCCACTAACCTGGGGGTCGATTCCTCCAATCGACATAGCGGAGGGTTGTTGGACCAGACTGTGGATGTGTGGAGGAAAAAAGTGCAACTTATAGAAGCACTGAACAAACGTGTAAATGTCACTTGCAGTGTAAATTGATAATTAAGACCAGAAATGCTCTGTAAATAAATGGCGTCAGTTTACAAGTGTAATGAAAAGTGACCGATCGCAGCTCTTGGCCTCCTCGTGGGCTTTCTTCAAACCCGCCGTGTGTCGCTGAATGTTTTTAAGTGGTGAATATAAATCATAACTTCTCTTCTAACATTTGTCTCCGAACACTTCTATAAATCTGGCCGATGTGAGCGTCAATCTTCAAATTGAACGTGCACAGTAAAACAGAATCTATATTCAGTTCTCTCCATCTATATTTTCACTGGAGGCCTTTACTGAAATTACTTCACATTCGTGATTTGCACATTCAAACCTTTCTAAGTGAAATATCTTGTTTTGTTTCCGTCCTCCTCCTCCTCCTCCTCCTCCCTCTCTCCGTGCTGAACGTCTCACGGCCCTGATGTCCTGTCTCGCTCGCTCAGGTCCCCCCATCATCTCCAGTGATCCGGTGCAGTACGCTGTCAGAGGCAAGAGAGGAGAGATCAAGTGCTACATCGCCAGCACCCCACCGCCCGATAAGATCGTAAGTCCAAACTCAGGAGCTGTGATTTGTTGCAAAAGGTTCTCGGTCGGTTTTTTTCACATCGCCTCGGCCTGAATCCTGATCAGAACAGAAGAGGACAGAGGATTGTTCGTCTGTCTTTCTGTTCATCTATCCGTCCCTTTGTCTCTTCATTTGTTTCATCTGTACATTATACATAACTTCTTATCTGTCCCTCACTAATCAGGTTTTTACCTTTAGTTTGACTTTTTGACTGTTTTTGGTTTCAGCGCCTCTTAATCCTGATTTTTACTTTAATTATTCATGTTTATTTTTTATAAAAATCTTATTATTATCATTCTTGATATTCTTATTATTAGTATTAGTCATATCCATCTCATTGTTGCAAGACATTAATTTCATCTGTAATGAAGATCAACTCCGAATGAAGAGGTCCAAGGTCAGAGGTCAAGCTCACTGTGAAGGCTGTCAGGAAATCTGACGTTAAACCGATTCGAGTTTTGTGGTCAAAGGTTAAAGGTCATTGAGATTTTATTTTTTATTCATTTAAGACCAATGCATGTGTCCCAGAGGTCACAGGTGAAAAAAACTCTTGACTCAGTTCACCATAATTTGGAACAGAAGTGGAGATCTTCACCATATGTCCCAGAACCTGACAGACTAACGGCGGCGGACGACTGCGAGGCGGTAATTCGAGTCACTTTTCTCTTCTCAGCCTGTGTAATATTCCAAACAATCGGGACAAGTGGCATTGTTCTCCGACTGAGCCGCGGCTTCGTGAGAACGATGTGTTCCCCCGTCTCGCGGTGGAAAAGTGTGACTCATCAGAAACAGCTGCTGCCGAAATGAAAGAGGAGTCACACAGTACCGTGCACATAATTCGGGGAAATGGAGGGAAGCAGATGAGATACGAGAAATGATGAAAAAACATCACTGCTCCGTGTTTGGATGGTCGGGGGGAAAAAAAAAAAAAAAAGAATCAAACAGTGAAAATGACATCGGTGCTATCTGTCTTAACTCTGAGATATCTCCCATCACTTATTCCTTATTCTTTTTTTCTGCTCCTATAAGCCCATGAGCCATGTCGCAGTTCATTTAGAGTGTTGCAAGATGCGCTCGTTCCCCTTTATCTCATCGCTTTGAAAGATGGAACGGCCTTGGGATCTAATTGTTGCAACAGGATTTCACCAGAAGAAAACACCGCGGCCATGTGGCTGCACACGTGAATTTAATAAAACTCAACGAGAGGGTGTGCGAAGAGGTCTTTGGTAAATAATGCTCATTCATTCATCCATTTACGTGGTGTTATTGTGATAATTAATATACTGATGATAGAAAAAATGTTCCTCGTTTACTAAATATTTGCGTCCAGACGAGAACACAAAGACAACTACAAATGCTCAAACAAGCGGTCCAGGCCAGTAGGTGGCGATACAGTCTACATCAACAATCTATCAAAGACCAGAGAAGAGGACTGTGGTCCAAGTAACATTAAGCGAAGAAGACGTCTGTGAACTTTGCCTGTGATGTGGAGCAGCGACGCTAAATTTAGCTGCAATCTAGTGATTAGACCTTTAGCGCTAAACAAACATAGAGAAACGGGAATACAGAAATCATCGTGACCCAAAGATCCGTTTTACAAGAACGCACGGATACACAGAAACCAGATTTTTCTTTTTTAATCTGCACTTTGGGACACGTTTATAAAAAAGTTGTCTCAGTGACTTGAAAAATGTTTGTGTGTGGACGAGAGGCTCCAACGCAGAGGAAAGAAACTGCTTTTGCATTTAAGAGTCATTTTCAGCAGCGTCCTCTAAAGTTTCCACAGAAAATCTGAATACGGCTTCAGAATAAATTGAAAGACGATATATCAACATATTGTTCTACATAAAACTTCCTTTAAATCCACTGATATTAAGAGTTATGGTCACTGTGAAAGAATCAGTGGAGCCTCCAGATCATTTTGATTTTAGTGTAAATTGAACACACCAGCTAAAACCTTTCCAATTCAGTGATCTCTCTCGAAGTGGTTTAACCATCTTTTCTTTAAAAGAAAGCTTTCACGCAGATTGCCTTCCCGGCAAACTGTAATGGAATATCCCCCTGAACGTGCCACAACTGCAGAACTGTGCTTGTTTTTTTTGTTTTTTTTTTCCATCCCTGCATTGTGCTGAGTGCAATACTTGATAAAACTAGAGTTTAATATGGAGCGTCTGTGCTGGATACAAGTCACAAAATAAGCAGTTTGAGTACGAGGTATAAACCTTTAAAAAAGGAAAAATACCAGAATGCTCACGAATCACAAAAAAAGAGGCAGAAAAATGGAAATAAATTCCGTAATGACATTTGAGTTTGAAGGCTGGAGCGAGTGAGCGAGAGTGTGGGGGTGAAATAGATTGAAATGAGAGCGGCAGAGAGATGGAGGGAGAGTAAAATTCTGTACCTTTCAGCGTCAATTATCCAATTTTGCAGCGCCAACATGACAGAAATCAGAGCTTTTAGGAAGCTTCAGCCCTCTTCTGCACCGGCAGAGAGCTCCGAGCGTATAATGTGATACGACATTATAGTCTCGGCTTAATGCAGAGACACAAGGACTTATAAAATATGGAGTATGATTCTGTGCGTGCGTGCGTGCGTGTGCGTGTGTGTGTGTTTCAAAGAGGCGACGGCAGATTGAGAAAGCAGCGAAAGCCGCACGGTGGTGGAGCGACAAAACGATTGTGAGAAAGATGGGGATTGTGGGAGGCAGAATGTGGAGACAGAAAAACATGCATTCTACAAGACTGACAATTATTTGAGTAGGAAATAAAAAGTCTTTTCCCTTTTAATTCTCCCCCCTGAGGCTCCATCACATTTCTTCTTTCTCTTTTTATTTAAAAAAAAAAAAACAGGTTAAAAGGTGCATCCGCCCAACATATGGGTCCATGTATATTTGATATCATCGTGCTCCATATTTGACGACCTCCATGGGTAATAATTTTAACATTTCTGTGATCGAAATTGTGGATGACACGGCCCCAAAGAAAATTCCTTTAAAATCTGGTGAAACAAAATCAAATCAACGATATAAATAACAATGCGATATAACTTTTCTCTGCATGTAAAGTTTTTCCGTTTTGAACAACGTGATAAACCAGTTGATCCTCTTGTCCGACAGCTGAGCTCCACTCCTCAGAATCATTCAGTGAATCATTCTTTAAAAGTGAAAACTTAATTAGCCACAATTATATTACATTCATATATTTCGCATAAAACAAATAATGTCATGTACTACACTTCTTATTGCTTTATACATTTAAACAGGTTGTGTGAGTCCACACTGACTGAGTCTGTATCCAGGTCTATTGTGGTTAATACCATTTAAAATGAGATAGAGTGAAATTAGCATTATTGAACCCTGAGGGGAGATTGGACGGTTGCAGCAGTAAAAGCAGAGTTTAGATAAGAATCAAACAAATTACACATATCGGAGATTGCATCTTCATCACACTAATACCCAGCTGCTATCAGCTTGAAGGACGTCCTGCTGCGTTCATCAGGAGCAGGTTTACAGATGTTGTCGTCTACAGAGGCACTAAACATTTCATCTTCACATTTTCTCAATGTCAAGTACACCTGCTTTATTTTTTAAGATCAAACTGAGCAAACATGAAAGTGAGAGCCGAGTAGGGAATGTGCTCCAGTGGCCCGTTATTATCGGCTCCCGTGTTTTAAAATGTAATTAAAGGAACAATAAGCAGTAAGTCAACCCGACACGGGCGTGTTTACGCTCCCGTCTTGTTTTCTATCTGCTGCTCGATGATTGGAGGCTGATTAACAATGTGTGTTTCAGGTCTGGGCGTGGAAGGAGAACGTGTGGGAGAAGGAGAAGGGCACCCTGATGGAGCGGTACACGGTGGAGCAGAGTAAACCTCCGTCGCAGGGCGGCGCTGTTCTCTCCACGCTCACCATAAACAACGTCATGGAGTCGGACTTCCACTCGCCGTACAACTGCACCGCCTGGAACTCGTTCGGACCCGGGACCATGATCATCACCCTGGAGGAGAGGGGTATGAAGAACATCTCCACTTTCATAACAGGGAGCAGAAATAAATCACCAACGCCAACTTTGAAGGTTTCACTAATATGTTATGAGTCGTTCCTCCACTTTGAATGATAATGAGACGGCAAAGAACTGGAATGATTTGTACATTAGCTGCAGGTTCTTTATGAAACTTTAGGGCTTTTGTAAATCAAAGTTACTCTGGTGTTGCTGAGCAGTGATTTGATTTGTGAGTCCGTGTTGTGTTTTGCATTATGTTTCCTTTGCTGTGCTTTGTTGCCGTATAAGCAACAAAAAGAAAAGAGAGAAATGACAATCATAAACCTGCCGATTAATAATTCAGAATACAAAGACTCACAACTTGCTGTTGGGCTTTCAACACTTTAACATCGCTGTTGTAGTGGTCGTCCGTGAGAGCTGAGCTTTTTGGGCCGAAGGGATCATTTTATTCATGTTTCACGGTTGAATTTGGCAGCGACGCTTAATCACCTCCAGCTCTGTGAATACAAAGAGGTGACTTAAGATGGAGGTGATGCACATCAGTGGTGATATGGCAGTTTTTAAAACATTATAGAAAAATATTATAGTAGGAAATACATGTTAAGCCCTCACATCATGGAGTCTGACCCCTAGTGGCACAAGGGAGCATTGATTTTATCGAATTAAGCCGCGGATCCAGGGGCGGATCCAGGGGCGGAGCCAGGGGCGGAGCCAGGGGCGGAGCCAGGGGTGGAGCCAGGGGGGCACTGGCCCTGATACGAACAACACATTTGTTAATATTCTGTTTTTGAACCTTTTTTGAATTCTTAACAATGTGCTTGAACCAGGAATCCTTTTTTTAAAAATAGGTTCAGTGATGTGTGGCCACAGAGAAAACAGTAAACTGAATCAGGATTTGTGTGCGGGACGTATAATTGGCCCCTCTGTGTGAAAAATTCCTTGATCCGCCACTGGGTTCGCAAAAATCTGGGAATTAAAAAAAAAAAAAAAAGGATTACTAGTAGCCCACATGGACATTAAAGTTTTTAACAAGTTTTAAAATCCATCCGTTGTCCACACTGCTTATCCTGTGAGGGTCAAAGTGGGGCAACAACCGTGCACACAGCTCAAACATGCAAACGTATTCAGGGGATTCGAACCAAGAACCTTCCCTCAAAATTCAAAATGTTTGTTACGGCACATGAGGGGGGGGGGCATTTTATCATGACAACTCCGCAGGGTTGATGTTACCGTTCAAACTGAAGTGCCCCTGAGCAAGATTATCAGCTGTCACGTGGAGGACAAACAACAGACAGTGTTGTAAGTCCATTCAGGACGGTTCTGCATCTTATTTCCAGAGCCTGGCTTTGTCACGTTACACGGAGAAAATGATTTCTTCACGCTCTGTCAGTTGTAACTGACTCTTATTCTTTCATCTGTCAGATTTCACAGACCTCAGAGGATCCACCAAAATAAAGAGAGAGAGAGAGAGAGAGAGAGAGGGGGAGCTTGTGTGTTCATCCTCATGTATTCAAACTGTGTTTTTAGCCCTTATCAGACGTGCAGACATGATTTATCAACACGACCAGATTCAATACGAAGCTCGGGCACGACAGGATTTATGCTTGAACGACACGCACGGCATCCGTGCAGGTTTCTGTAACAATGAGGCAGCAGCTGTCCCTCAACCCGAACCTTTTTTTTCTGCCTGTGTTTGTTTCAGATATTGTTCCAGTGGGAATTATCGCCGGTGGTTCTGTGCTCTTCTCCATTCTGCTGCTTGTGTTTCTACTGGCACTCGCCTTCTTCCTCTACCGCCAACGCAAAGGCAGTGAGTGCACACTGGGGTTCTTCTGTGTGTGTGTGTGTCTGTCACTCTTTTCTTTCATCCCTCTCTGTCATTCTGCCTATCTGTGGAGAAAGGAACATATGTCAGCCGTATAGCATTTTATTCAAATGAGATTAATGAATATTCATATAATGAATCTTAAAAAACGCCTCCAATATGTTTTTATTTCACTGTTGTGGAATTGTGTAATTATTTCTTGAATAAATCGTTTTTCACACGCGGCTCGTAGACGAGATAAAATACATAATAACGGAGCAGAAAACAGGAGCATTTAAAGGTGAAGTGTTTAAATTATGAATTCCTATATGTTATTTCTACAGCCGGCGGCAAACCAATTAGTATTTATCATCCCAAACCACACTTGCACAAACCGGAGAGCTACAGAACGAGTGGTGTCTTCAAGTTGTTTGATTTTCAGCCGCTCCGTCGCAAATAAAGAGTTTGAAAGACAATGAAGGTGACTGGCACATTCCCCAGAGGGATTTTCTGGGGATAAGAGTATATTTTCTGGTTTAGAGCTGATAACACCGCTGCAGAAAAGATATTGTTTGGGAATTGAAACTCAAACAAACATCGCCGCGGCTCCAGATAAGCAGTCTCTCGTTTTGACGTCTATGATGCAGCTCAAGACTTCACAGATTTAAATCTTTGCTTTTGAGGTTTCTGCGGCGGAGAGTCGCTCATGTTGACAAATGTCGACTGTTCTGTGTGAAGGATGTGTGAATTAATCTGAACAATGAGATGTTTATCACAGAAAAGTACCTGAAATGCTCCTTTCACGTTACAGATTTTCTATTTTATTGTTGCAGCTCCATGTTTGGTGCAGCCGCAACACAAAATGTAAAAGAAAAATGGGCGGGGGGGAAGTTCTTCTTTATAAATCTGCATTAAAACATTTAAGTGTGAGTAATAAAGTTCTCAGAGACATTTTCTTGGCTCATTTATCTACATTTCAAAAAGATTTAGTTGTTTCTGTTTCATCCGTATCAGTAAGCTTCAGATGACGTTCATGAATATGAGCTAAAATGAACATTGAGCTTAATATATATTTTTTTGTTTTTTTTCAAGACAATTAAAAACAATTACGTGAACTTCCACTAAGAGTCACTAAAGTCAGAAAAGTCCGTATTGTCTAATTTTCATACAAAATATTGTAAAAACGATCATTAGTCTTTAGATTTACAAACGATCTGTTTGAAAGTCTTCATCTTCCTCATCTTCTTCAAACTTTAGGGAGACGGAATGAGCAGTTTTCGTCCTTAAAATTCAACCCACTACCTCGCTGTGCCGTCTGTGGCTGCAGCATACCAAATTGTTTAATGCTCCATTAACAACAGAGATAAATTAAGATAAACAAGGCAAATAATGGCCCAGACAAGTCAGACAGAAACAGCATTAAACAGAACGAGTGCTTGTTGCTGAGGTTTTTTGTTTTGTTTCCTCTCTCCCTTTTAACCAGACTGTTGAATAAATCAATAATTTATTTTCACGTCGTCCCAGAATATGACTGGAGGTTGTGTTTTTTTTTTCTGTTCCAGGTCGCCGGGGTGTCACCCTGGGTAAACCAGACATCAAGGTGGAGACAGTCAACAAAGAGACCCACAGCCTGGAGGAGGAGGCGGCCAACGTCTCCACAGCAACCCGGATGGTCAAGGCCATGTACTCCGTGAGTAGATCCCCCCCCCCCCCCCATCTGAGTCACCGGGGGCCACGGAGAGGAGACGTACGGGTCAATGGCCCTTAAATGTACAGCTACACTGACACAAAGGGCAACTTGGCAGGGGAGGCAGTTACGGACACGTGCACACACTCATGCATAAAAACACACACGCTATCACAAAATCAGAAAAAGAACAAAGTGCACGAATACGCACATGAAGAAAAAGAAAGAGGAACGATACACATCTGGTAAATCAACAACACTAAACTGATGGTACGCACATTTATTCATCTATGAACAGAAAACACACTCGCTTTAACGTTGTGTTTCTTTTAGAGATCCTGGAGAATCTCATCCACCAGGCTCCGCTGGCGCGTTTTTCTTTTTTAAAGCTCGGCCCGAAACCATTTCTTTTTTCTGCCCTCTGAGCGTTTCTCTTCTTCCAATCTCTTGGGATGAAAAACCTGAAACTCTCTTTTCCTCTCCCCTCCCTCTCTTCCTTCCTCTTTCCTTTCTCAACCCTCCCTCTTTCCGTGTGTGTGTTTCGTTGTTTGATGGTTTAGTTTCTGCCCTCTGTTTCCCTCTCTCCCTCCACTCAGCCGTTCAAAGACGACATGGACCTGAAGCAGGAAGTCCGCAGCGAGAGCGACACCCGGGAGGAGTACGAGCTCAAGGTGAGGTGCAGGCGGCGGCGGCGGAGGCCACAGATGTTTTAGCATTTTTTTAAAGATTATTTCTCGCATGGAGCACAAACGTATCCCACCCACACGTCACTTTGTGCTCATATCCATCGTTTGTCCTGATTACCAGTTGCCGTTCTTCCTCAGGTTTGCTGTTTGCTCTGGAGGTAAAACTCTGCATCGTTTGTTTGGAGTTCAGCACATGATCGATCCCTTATTTCTCAAAACCTTTTGTTCGTCAGCTCATCGGAAACCACAGATATCCTGATAGAATGAAGATGTATCGTTATGTTCGGTGTTCATACGTGTAAACATCGTTCACATATCATTACATCTGCAGACACAGCATGAACCCCCGACTGCACCGTCATCACCGAGCATCGAGAGATTGTTGTGAAAAACAGTTCTGAGTAACTTCTCCGGTCGAGCTGCAGATAGAAATGTTACTAAACGAGGATCACTCACATGAATCCAAGCTCGTTAAAGCGTAGCCCACATGCTCACACTCTTCTCTGTGATCACAGGATCCAACCAACGGCTACTACAACGTCCGAGCCACCACCCACGACGAGGCGCGCCCCCAGTCCCGTGCCATCCACTACCAGGGAGAGTTCCGACCCCCGAACCCAAACAGTGGGCCGGCCGGTGCCTCGCCCAGCGGACCCTCGGCCGCCCCCAGCGGTGCAGTTCCCCCCAGCGCAGTGCCAGGCTCACGGACAGGCTGCTATGACCCCCGCCCGCCTTCCAGGATGTCCCATGCCTCCTACGCCCAGTTCAACACGTTCTCAAGGGCGCCGCCGAGCCAGCAGGTACCTCCCAATCCGGCTCTTCAATCGCCTGGAGATTACCCGGGAGACTGCGGCCTGCTGGACAGCACAACCCAGCTGGCCTATGACAACTACGGATACCCCTCCCAGTATCCCAGCTACCGCATGGGCTTTGCTCCGCCCATAGAGGAAGGGCCAGCCTATGAGATGTATCCAACAGGACAAGGGACCGGGCCAGGACCAGGACCAGGACCAGGACCAGGGCCAGGGCCAGGGCCAGGACCGGGACAACAAAGTCCTGAAACAGGGCTGGGGAATTACGGAAGCTCCACTCGCTTCTCGTACTCGTCTCCACCCTCTGACTATTCGCACAGACACACACAGCGGATGCAGACTCATGTGTGAGAACACACACACACACACACACACACACACACACACACACACTTTTGACTCGCTTCTTGCATCAGCAGCACTTATAACACATGAATCACATGTTTCCAAACATTCAAGAATCCGGTGCATGGGATCTGGTAAATTTTCGGACCCTAAAACAACACGACAGTCCGCAGCAGTTAGCAGCATCGCATACACTGTAGGTAGCAGCAATACGTACAACAACACGCGCAGAGCGACAGTCACACACATCTGCGCAGACCCTCTGTTGCATGCTTCGTCCCGAGCAACAGACACAATCATGAGAAAAGAGAGAGGAAGAGAGGAGCGAGCACTTTGAGGACTGAAGCAGCATAAAAATAAAAATCCCTTCCTGCGATCCTCCGTTTTGCTCTTCGACCGTGTCCCTGCATCACCTCCGACCACGTCTCTGTAAATAAGTTCAACTTCGGATTCGGATCGTTTTAAAGCCGTCACCTTGTACAAGCCTAAAACAGTGGGATGCAGCAAAACCTCCCTGTAATCCACACGTTTTGCATTTTCTGACTTTTGCAAAACACACACACACACACACACACACACACACACACACACTTTTGTTTCTATATATTGCAGCAACGGGGCAGCTTGGACTATAACCACATCTGGCACTTTGTGATCCTCTTTCCTCACTAAAACCTACCCAGTGGCCATTTTTGTACAAGATCTACCTTGATTTAATTGGGACAAAGCTTCCTAAGGTGGTACAGTGAGCGACCAGAGTGCCGATGCTTATGTGCCAACACACACAAACTTCTGTCGAGGTGTGTCTTCTTTTTCTAAAGCGCGCAACGAGATGCTCCGGACGCCGAGGTTTTGTAGACGCCACATCGGAGAGGAGAGGAGAGGAGAGGTAGCAAGCGTCTCTGTAAACTCCTTCTCCTCCTCATCTCTCATTTTTATCATCATGATTCATTTCTCTATACTTCACATTTCACTCAAGGTCGATGCCGTTAACTGTATTTGTGAAGCGAAGTGTGGCAGGAGTGCTTTTTTTTTTTTCATTCGGTGAATCTCAGCATTTTGTACAGAAAAGATACCTCCCCTGTCCTCAAGTGTCAAAACGTATTTGTTTCTCTCACTTGCACAGTAGATTAGATTTTTTTTTTTCCATATTTATACCAGAAACGCTTATGGAAAAAAAATGGCATTACATTTTATAGTATTTTTATAAGGAGTTGTGGACCAAAGGTTCAGAGTATTGGGTGACACTCGCTTTTTAACGTGTAAGTGGCAACGTGATCGTTCCTGGAAACGTTTTGAGTTTCTTTAAAAAGAGATGGATGGTATTTTTCAAGCGGATGTTGTAGACTTAAATTAGAAAAAAAAAAATTAAGAGATTGATTCCAAAAACGGTGAATGTCCGACCGATGGGAGGAAACCTCTTTGGCGGATTTCTCTGTTTGGTGTGAAACTCTTCCTTCGACCTCCGGTCTTGTGACTGGACTGCCTTTTTATAAACGTCGACGACATTCAAAGCGATGGATGGAGAACAAGCTGCTGCTCACTTTGAGCTGTGCTGCAAACTTTGTAAGCAATGAGAGGGTTCACGTGCAGTTTAACATATCAAACTGAAGGTACAGAGGCTTCTAGAGCTCCGATGGTACTTTGTACATTTATCTGTAAGTACGCTGGTTTCCTCACTGCAACAGAAACTTTGGTATTTTACGTCTGAGCGCTTTTCCATTTTGTTGTGTCAGCTTCGGTGTGTGTGTGTGACTGGCTTTTGACCACACAGGTCGTGAGGATCTGTGTTTAAACTATAGCTTTTTTTGTGCTCTAACGTCAACTGATGCAGCGATTAAACAAATCCAGCAATCGAGTATTTCTCCACGGCGCCATTACCCAAATGGTTCCCGTTAAAGGTGGAAATCACATCGGTCTGCTTTGTCTTTAAACGCACAAGAAGGACAAAAGAAGTGCGTCGCTTTGCTTGCTTTTCCATTAATGAATTAAATCTCAGTCTGAGCAGTTCACAAAAGGCTTTTAAAGGCTGAACAATGTGGATTATTATCTGAGCAGCGAAGGGTTTTTTTTGGCCGATGTCAAACATATAATTAAGTAAGAATCGCTGAAAACGAAGCCTTATTTTAAAACAACGGCGTGTTATAATTTCCTGAATCTGGTTTTCAGACATTTATTTTTAATTTTGGCCTGATTCATGTGAAATTCTGGATTTCCCTTCTGCAAGAAATGATGTGACTTCCTCTAACTTGGTAATAATTTTACTTGCCACGAGAATTCTGCGCTGAAAAACACTCATTCAAGGCAGCAACTGGTTTCAAAGCAAGATCAGAGGTAAACAGTTGGCACCACAGGATGTTGAAGTGATGCTGAGCTCTGTTACTGAGATTAAATACAACATCTTTCACTTAAACTTCTTTTGGCATTTCACCCTTCTCCTGAGGGCACGTCCGCTTTATCCCAAAGACAAAGTGGAGGAGTGAATCCCACACAGACTCACCCACATGTATCTGCGCCGGGTTTTTTTGAGCATTTAAAAAATGATGGATGGCGCTTTACAAAAAAGATCAGAGGCCACAAAGGTGAAGCCAGAAATCTCTGCACCTCCATCAGCGAATCATTGAGTCTTAATACTTAGAAGCCGCCCTATCAAACCGTCACAGATACAGTATATTATGGTAATTGTCTGCAAAAGGGCAGTAAAATTCATATTTATTGCCCCTATTTTGAATAAACACTCTGAGAAAGGAAACCACCGCCGCATCATCTCTGATTAGAATATCAGATACAACCTTGTAGCTTCAAGGTCACGATATAAAACCACGACTGCAGTTATGGAGAGAAGAATGGCAGATGGAGCACCCTTTTAAATTTATATGGTTATCACAGCCTTGGTACTGCATACTATTACCTCTTTACAACCTTTTTACAGAGTTGTAGCGGTGCCGTAGCCTATTTTGCATCCGACTCACAATGTCGTTATGACCTTGTGTGGAAAAAGAGTTTGACACCGAGGAGACACCGAGGCCTGCAGATACACGACCGGGTCAAGCAGGTTCCTCGTCATTACCTTTTAACTCTTCATGGTCGATGCGGAAATATGAATCTACGAAATACACCGTGGATGCCAAAAGTGCTAAATGGATGTTTTGATTTGGTTCTGTGGTTTGGACGGGACTGTAGACGTGTCGTTTCCTCCTCTTCCTCACATGTACCTCTCTCGGCTCTCTCCTGCGTCGCGTTAATCGCCACCTACCTGCTTCCAAATTTAGAGGTTAAACCTCTGAAAAGAATCACAGCAAACCGTCTCCGGCTGCTTTCCTTCCAAATCTTCTCTAAGAGCAATCCAGCTTGTATAAACGTGTGTATGTTTTTTTGTTTTTTTGGAGGGGGGGGGGGGGCATATAGAGTTTATATAGTCTCACGAACTCATAACATCCATCCTCCGTATTCATTATTTCACGATCTCCTCTCTTTCTATGGAAATCTGTATTTGAAAACGTATTTTCTCGGTATCACTTCGTGGTGTTTCATCACCAGTGGAGGAGATGACCGTGGGGTGTTAAACTTTTATACACAGTATTTTATTTGATCTTGCAAGCGTCGAATGGGGGGGGCGGAAAAAAGCGCGAGAGAGAGAGAGAGAGAGAGAGAGCGTGGAAGTGTGCATCTGTGGCCGAGATGACTTCTCAACCAGGCCACAACAAAATAGCTCATATCCTGTCTCAACTAGGCCAACCCAGACTCGAACCAGGCCAGACCCACAGCTAACTGCTCTGATACATGCTGTGCCGCGCTGTGCCGCGCTGTGCCGTCCCCCCGGCCAAGAGTGACTCGTGTGGCTCGGCGTCAATTTTTACCTTTTGGAGTTTTTCGGTGCCAAAAGACTGTGCAAAGCAAAAGAAAATGTACTGAGCAAACAAACAAATGCAGCAGCCATATGTGTTTATTGAGAGTGTGTGTGTGTGTGTGTGTGTGCGTGCGTGTGCGTGTGTGCGTCGTTTGTGTTTCCTCACATGCTGTGTATGCATTCATCCGTGAACATGCATGTGTGTTGTTGTACATGTGTTGGCAGCATGTAACCCCGGTGTGTTTCATACCATTATTAATATGTTGGGACCACTGGTGTGTAGAAACTGGGGTTTGACTGATCCGGCCAAAATCGAATCGATCAACCAGTCGCCTGCTGGTATGATGGAGGATCCTCCTGACCACTGTGGCAGATAAATATTCTGAAACAGCGACATCACATTTCCTTTACGGGTTTATGTTCGTTCATTTAATAGTTCAGTCATCACTTTAGAGATATTACTAATCCACAGGCCTCCGTCCTGTTATTGAACATGTCATAGTTATAATGACCTTAAAGATATCAAACATATTCTTCATTTATTTAACAATCTGTAATTGTTCATGTTGATCTTATTTCACATATTAGTCCCCAAGGAAACACAAAGAACTGATGGTTTGCACAAAATGAAAATCGTCACAACGTCAGACTCAGAAAGGATTTACATTATTACGTTCATTTAAATGTGCCACAGTAGAAAACGGTTATTTTATCAACATGCAACATAACAGATATCAAATCTTCACTAAATCCCCGAAACATGACTATCAGCAGTCGGGCATCGGTCAAACCCTGGTGGAACGCAGCTGATCAGAGTGAAGGAGACATCTTGTGGCCTTAGGACAGGAGGAAGGAGCTGAAGCGGTCCGCTCGTCCCTCGTCCAGCTGCTGGGACATGTCCGCTCGCTGAAGCAGCTGCTGGAGTGAACTCCGAGTTCTGCTCAGCATCGAGACAATGATCAGTGAGGAGGATTCATGTTGCACTTAAAGACCGTGAGAAGAGGACGTGTGCATGAAAGAGCGGGACGGTTTGTGTTCGTTCAAATAAGCGTTTTGTTTTCGGGCTTTTCTCCGCGCTCCGGTTCTTTTTTGAAATATCCCTATATATTGTTCACATGTGTATTATTATCATACTTAGTTTGCGCACTTGTTTATTCCTGGA